TTTACAAATGTATACTAATTCTTCATTTACTTTTTTTTATATGACCTGGAACATATGAACTAAATTATTTCCTTGTTTTTCCTAATTCTGTCCTTCTGCAGATACAAACACATAGTCAATTGTTCATGAGTGAATTCAGCTCTCCTCTGCTTCGGAGATTTATAGTCAGAGAAAGTTGTGCCTTCAGTGAAATTCCAGGAAATTACCATATTAAGACACTTAAAATTCTGAAGACATTAGTTTAGACCTTGCACAGAGTTAGGATTTCAAAGCCCATTCACAGGGGAATATTGATCTTTTGTTTTAATCCCACAAATGGACAAGAGAACAAAATTAGAAAATAAACAGATAACAAACCACCACATTGTTTTTGAATTAAGGGGTTTATTACATTTAATTCATGTGAATTTCATTTTGAGGAGAAAATCTATTGAAATAAATTCTATCACAAATGGTGACATTAGACGTTAAATTTGGTTTATTGTTCAGTTTACTGCTGGCAATACATTTTTAAAAGGTGAGAAATCAGTAGATATCAGATAAAAATAAACTACAAATTTTAAATAAAAAGAACCTCATATGGCTGTAAATTAACACCATTCATAAAAATTCAAACATCAAAGAAAAAAATGGATGAAAATTTGGAAATATTTTAAAATGCATAATGATATAACCCAGTAAAATTTGAGAGGTACAGCTGTTTAGAAGGAAAATTTTAGATTTTAAAGTATATATAACAATTCAAGAAAGCTTGAAATCAATTATTTTAGTACTTTATATGAGGAACTTAGAAAAAAATAGCAATTTAAACCAAAAGTAAATTTAAGATAGAAATAAGAAAGGAAAGAACAGAAATCAATGAAATAGAAGTCAAATATAAAACAGAGAAAAAAAACAAGGTCAAAATTTAGATTTTGAGAAAATCAATTATTTTAATTTTTAAAAGAAACATCGTATAAGAAAAGAAGTAACCAATAGCTTCACAAAATTTAAATAATTATTTGGAAAAATATTTATTTTTCTATATTCCAAAGCAGAATTAATTTTTTTTTCATTTTTTCCAGTAGGCAAGGTAAATATCTTAGCCTTCCTCATTCTCCCTCTTTTCCAAACACTTCCTCAAAATAGCCCTGTTGGCAAACTTAAGAGTAACCACAGGATGAGCAGGGAGCAGAACTACTCTTAGACAAAGTGGAAAGTTAATCCATTTGTTTTCAAAGGGTATAGAATCTTAGTTCATAACCTCTGCACCAATCAAAGAGGCTCATGGCCTCATTCTTTACTAGTTTATTTTCATCTTTAATTCTACATTTGTATTAAAGTGAATGATGAGGGTTATCAGTTGAAGGAGACTTCCCAGGAACTCAGAACCTGGTCAACCCAGCTCCAGTCTTGTATTGATTATTCTGTACAGTGTAGGTTTCCAGGGGCAGCTTTTTTTTTTTTTAAGAAAAAAACATAATTATAAAACTGGGCATTTCCAAAATATGTGTGGTCTTTACCATGGAAATATTGACTTGCAAGTTTTTTTGTTTGTGAGTCTGTGTTCCTTAGATATGGATCCAATTCTTTCTGATATGAGAAGTGCTATTGATAGATTATAGTACTTTTTCAACTGCACCCACTTCTGGAAATTGTTGATCAAATCAGGCAGGGTCAAATTAATTATTTTACAGAAAATTTTTGAGGATAAAATTTTTCTGAAAATTTTTATTTTTTCTTTATTTTTGAAGGATATTTTGAACTGATATAGGCTGACTTTTTTAAAAAAACTTAAATCTTTAACTTTCTGTTTGAGAATATCCATTAGGTTGTTGTTGTTGTTTTTAAATGTACATATCTCTTAAAATTCCCTATATATTTATTAGTTATATCCATCTTTTTCTTAAATTATTCACATATCCATCATGAGCATTTTAGCCAACTAATTCTAATAAGTGTGTTAAATGTGAATTTCCTCTTATTGATTGTTATTCTTTTGATGGGGGCAGTAACACTTACATACTTTCTGACATTTTTTTGTAATGTTTTATTGCATTATGACATTGTATATAAAAGAACAGTGTATCTTGTAGTATAAATATTTATATTTTTGTACACATATGATTATATAATTATGTAATTGATACACATATATACACACAAATATATATATGAAAATATTTTGATTTAATGTTTTCAAGAGAATGTAAGTCCTTTTTTCTGTATGTTAGATGGGTCAAGGGCTTATCAGTAATGTTCTTCTAATAACTGAGTTAGGCAGGCACCGTCTCTATTTTTTTTAATTTTTTAATTTAATTTAATTTATTTTTTATACAGCAGGTTCTTATTAGTTATCCATTTTATGCATATTAGTGTATATATGTCATCTGATTTTAATCAGCTTGATTGAACCTCTAGTTTGCCTATACTTTGACCAGGTATTCTGACACTCCCTTATCTGAGCTCATTATTATATTTTATTTCAGCTGGGAGGGATATTGGCCCACAGTTTCAGACTGTTTTAGTTTGCCTTTGAAGTCATTTGAGTTTTGTACATTTTAGTTACTGTATTTTACAGTTTTTGCATTTTTCATTTTCATCTTTATATATTCAAGCACTCTGTCAAAATTCTTAAACTCGTCTTTAATTTCTTAAGAAAAATAACCACAATTATTTTTGTGTATATTTCTAATATGTTCATTATCTGGATCTCCTGTAGACTTGTTTGTACTCTATGTTGTCTCTGTTCTTGTCTTGCTTTTTTTTGCAGTATTGATAGTTTTTAATCAATTACTATAGGTAATTAGAGGTCTATTTGCAGAATTTACTCTGGAAGTACCAAGCTGGGGTAAGATTAGTAATATTGTCATATCATCAAGATGGATGTAATTCAAAGGTTGACTTCAGTTCCTGTGAAACATATTCTGTTTGTATACCCTTAAAATTCTAGTGGAGTTTTAAAATCCTATAATGTTTCAAAATCCTAGAATGTTTACCAATATCCCCAGTTCCTTACAATGCCATGGGAGTCTAATTCTGTTCATTCACACTATGAGCCCATTGACGTTTTTGGATTTAGTGGGCAACTCTAGGAAGAAATCAGCCCAAATACCAACATTTCTTTTGACTTAAAACCTCTCCTAATTTTGATCTAGCAGTTCTTAGCCTGGTAATGCTCCAGTGTTTGTGCACAGATTATTTTATCCAGTTTTACTAGCGTTCTAGTAGTGATTTGAACTACCCACTCTGATGCTGACAAAAGTTATACTTGGTAAATGATATCATGTTACACTTCTATATATAAGGATGGTTGGTAAAAATATTTATTTTACAATATATGCAAAATTATTTAGAATAGACAAGAAATCTGGTGTGAGAATTATCACTGGAAGTCGGTTCCATTAAATTTAATAGGTGGAGAGGAAACCTAGGATTAATGTCATTAATGTCATTCAAAATTCAAACTTCAAAATGATGGAGTAACGTGCAGCCATTAGAAATGCTATCTAAACCTATTTACCAAATGACTTAATTGCCCATTGTAAATTAATTGCCCATATATTCCCTGAACATACCAGGTAACTTTATATCTCTCTGCTTTGTCCATTCCATTTTATTTTTCCAAACTTTTTCGATTCTATCCTATACTACTTCTGTTTTTGCTTTTAATAGGAGGTTCCATCTTTTAGGAAAATTGTGAACATCAATTTCTCTGTAAGACTGGGATCTTTGGCCGGATCTTGAGTCCCTTTGAACTTCCATTGCCTCATGTTTAAAAAACAAACAAACAAACAAACATGTAGCACACAAAAGTTATGTTCCTCTGAGTGCTATTTAAAGTTCTAAAGAAATAATGACTTGAAAATCTCTTTGAACGTTTATTTAGCTCAACACAAAGATAATGCCCTTTTATTATTAGGTTTGTCTCCTTTTCAAAATGTGTCCAACAGCAATGTACCATTTTCTGAAATCTGTGTCCTATAAAAAAGATTAGCACATGACTATAAAAAAGTAAAAGAAAAGGATATCCATTTTTTGCTGACATAAAGGTTGTGGTTCTCAGCCATATGTAGCCTGAGCCACTGGAAAGCATAGAGATAAAAACTCACACATCCTGAATCAAAATTCTTCACAACAAGAATAATTGGCTTCCTTCTTACATGCTGTAAAAAAATGACTTTCATGGAAAAGTACTTACGGAGATTCAAAAAGTCGGTCACTTTTACCAACCAACTTTGGATGAACTTAATAGAAGTTATTTAAGATTTATATTTAGTATTTTCTGAAAATATACAGACACAAGTTAGATTTATATTTAATTTTTGTTTTATGTGCAAACCTAGAACTATATCTAAATTTTATTCTTTCTCTCTGCATTCCATACATATCCATTAACTTTCGTGATTTTCTTCTCCTGTGAAGAGAGGTATAAGGACACATGATTTAAAGAACAAGGCTTTTATAGCTCTTGAGATGTTTATTTGTACTGTCTAATAATAATAACATATATGGATGCCAGAATAAATGTGTTTATTTACTTAAGATAATTAGATACTGTTAAATTTTGAAGGATATCTAATAATTGGATGATTTCCATCACCAATGCAGGTATATGATTTAAAGTTTAGGTTTGTTACTTAGTTTTACATTCTACAAGACCAAATCTGTAAGTTAGGTTGGGTGGCTGGCTGCAGAGTGAGTGAACAGCCAGTCTTTGGGGACCATGAAGAGGGTTGTTTCTTGTAAGAATAAAATAGTTGTCATTTGAGGTTTCCCTGGTGGCGCAGTGGTTGAGAGTCCGCCTGCTGATTCAAGGGACACGAGTTCGTGCCCCGGTCTGGGAAGATCCCACATGTCGCGGAGTGGCTAGGCCCATGAGCCATGGCCGCTGAGCCTGCGCGTCCGGAGCCTGTGCTCCGCAACCGGAGAGGCCACAACAGTGAGAGGTCCGCGTACCGCAAAAAAAAAAAAAAAGTTGTCATTCTACCAAAAGATCTAGACATTCAATAAATTGGTCTTTAGAAGCCAGATCCACAGATAGGCCGAAAATCAAAATAGGTTGGGTGGCAGAATCTGGATCCATAGCCCAAGGTAGGAGAGCCCTGGACTCCATAACCCAGGGGTCTGAAGCCACTGGATCCACAGCCCAGTGAGTAGCAGCTTCTGGATCCAGAGCTCAGGGAGCAGCCTCTGCTGGACCTAAAACCCAGAGACCCAGCATATATTGTCTAACAGGGATGGTAGAGAGTGGAGGTCCTCGGACAGTAGCAGGATGTCTGGCAAGGACTGGACACCGCACTGAATGGCTGGCACATTGTGGGCTCATAGCAGGTCTCCTGACAGCTACTGTAGAGAGAGGAACCCAGCTGGCAGGTGCTGGGAGAGTAGAGATCAGTGCTATAGACCAGGTTGCTGGAGTAGAAGGAGTCTGGGTAGTGCAGATGACTCCCAAGGGAGCTGGAGGAGAAGTTTCCAGAGCAGCAGTTGTAGGACATGTTGACAGGGGATGTGAGTTCAGCTGAATTAGACTGACAGTATTTTGTGGCATTAGACTGAGAATATTCTGTGGTATTTATATACTCTAAGAAATAGGTGTTTACAGCTACAAGGTCACCATTCCTACATGTCTGCTCCCTCATGTGCATAGTATTACTTCAATCATCATTTCTGTAATTGCAGCTGCATAGTTCCCTACACATTGTATTTATGGGTGCTATAATAGTTTTGGTTACAACACAAAGCCAATAAGCTAGTCATGTCACAAATGTTATGACCGTTTTATATTAATGACCATCCCATCACAGCCAAGAATGTCGCTCCTTCCTGGTATACGCTGCATGTGTATCTGAGTCTGGCTTTGCTGGGGTATGCATTCCTTCTAAGGGTGGAGATCAAAATGGTACCATCTTTCTTTTTTATTTGGTTAGAGGCATAGCTTTGGCCTTCTAAAAAGCCTTCTAAAGATTGAAACTACTTGTGACTATTCATTTTTTTCTCCAAAATTAATTTCCAAGTATTAAATATTAATGCAGATATCTCATATCCAATGGAGAAAGCCCAGCAATGTTACAAATGGAATGGAGGAGAGCTACTAACAGAGGGAACCCTGGGTCTAAAGCCATTGGATCCACAGTCTAATGAGTAGCAGTTTCCAGATCCAGAGCTCAGGAAGTTGCAGCTGCTGAACCTAAATCCCAGAGACCCAGGGTAAGTTTTCCAGCAGAGTGTGGAAGTCCTTGGGTGGTAGCAGGATGTCTGGCAGCGACTAGACACCACACAGGATGTCTGGCACCTGGTGGGCTCACAGCAGTTCTCCTAACTGTAGAGAGAGGAGTTCAGCTGGCAGGTGTTGGGAGAGTAGAGGTCAGTGCTGTAGACCAGGTTGCTGGCGTAAAAGGAACCACGGGAGAAGCCTGGCTAGCACTGGTAGCCCCCAAGGGAGTGGGAGGAGAAGTTTCCAGAGCAGCAATTGTAGGACATCTTGACGGGAGATATGAGTTCAGCAGAAATACACTGAGAATATTCTGAGGTCTAAGGTCATCTTGTGGACTGGGTAATTATATACTCTTGTCAATGGTTCGGCACAGTACTGGTGCAATCCTCTCACATTGTTCACTCCTCTTCTGCATGTGTGTAATTCATTAATCGTCTCTGTAATTGCAGTTGACTAGTTTCCTACTTAATCTATTTACTGGTGCCATGATTTGTTATAACACAAAGCCAATGACCATTCCTGTACAGAAATTCTAGGACAATTTGTCAGTTATCTTCATCCTATTAAGGCCAGGAAAGCCCATTTTTTACTTCCTGGCCATGACTCCATGTATATCTACTCCTGCTTTGCTCTGGGATTTCTTCTGTCACTTTTCTACCATGTCAAGTGATCAGTGGCATAACTTTGTTTTTTATAAGGATGCTTCTAATGATTGATTCTACTTGTCACTACTGATTCACATTCTTCAAATTTATTTTCCATCTATCACATATTATTATACAGTGCTCCTCATATCCAATGGAGGGAAGAAAAATAACACATAATGAGAAATGGTTAGAAACAGAAAGGAATCAGGCAAACATTTAAAGACAAAGTGACTCCAGAAGACTGAATTAAGATGGAACCACAGGAAGAAACTGATTTGGGGCATGTGAAGAGGGAGTGGGGATAATGATGGTAGTTTGAGCTGGGAAAAGGGATGAAGAGACAGGGATTTCAGGTATCTCTTCTACTTGCTTTGAGACTATGGATCTAAATGCCATTAGAAAAAAACACTTTAAAAATGAATATAATTTATATATTTTCATATATTTTTATTTACCTCATAAAAATTTTAAAAGAACCTGGGTTCTGCATCCTAGAACAACTCAGGCTTTTCTCTGTTCATACTGTGAATGATTTTTGTGCATTTTTCAAAGTCAGTTCCTTTTCTGTAATTTCTTTCAAAAATATAAAATATTTTCCCTTTGTCACCCCTGTTCTCCATTTTATCTTTTCTGTTGTATAATATAATAGCTGAGTGCTAATTTCCAGCGGGCTAATTATATCAGATAAACTTGCACTGAAATAAACACAGAAATTCTTTAGGATGAAGGAAAATAATCTTAAAAGGAAACATTAAGTTTCAAGAAAGAATAGAATATTTGCTAGTTGGATTCTCCAGGAAGCAGGCACTGAGACAGGAATGGAAGAACAAAAAGTTTGTAAGAGAGTAACACTTGTGAAAGAAAAAAAGCCATTCTACCACCTTGTTCAGTCATTGACAAGGGGCTGCCATGAGAAAAACCTGACCTTGGCTTGAAATCCGAGGCAGATTCCAAGGAAGCCAACAGAGAAAGGCTGTCAGCTAACCTCACTTGTCACATCTGGATAGCTATTCCTTTTTTGAAGTGATGTGATGTGAGTTCCAGTGCAGATCTGTACCTGTCACAGTCCACCATTTTCACCTTGAGGGTCAACTTATCAGGAGAGAGATTCTCCGTAGCTCTGGTTGGCCTCTTCCTGAGGGGAAATGTTCAAGTGTGACTGGGTGGGATGAAACGCACTCTGTCACTGCATTTGATCTTGGAGCTGAGATGGGTACTCATTATTTCCCTCCTTCACAATCCATTAGAAATTTGCTTCACCCTCAGCTACCACTTCTTTTGGTCTCAGTGGATTTCTTGGTGGTATTACCTATGCCCTTTTCTAAGAAGTATGAACACTGATAACCATACCCTTTTCTTGCTATAGTTACTGCATATTACAAATCACATCAATTGGGTGGGAATTTTCAAGGGCCATCCAAGTAGATCGACTGAGCTCCACACATACTCCCTCTTACCCTCACTGTGTAACAGTAACCCTACTATTTTCTACTAAACAGGATCATCTACCCTTGGATTAGATGGTAACTCTTTTTTTTTTTTGCTTGCTGGTACCTGAAACAAGGAACTCGAAGTGCTCAGCCAGCAGTCATAATTGTAGTTCAATGAGACCCTTGGTATGTCCGTTGGGAACAGGTCTTCTACCCTTGGAAATTCCAGTTGCAGAAATAGGAAGCACAAAGTTCTTAAACAGGTCATTGGGGATGACAGTAAGTGGATATTTGGGACCCAATCTTTTAGGACATTGCTTCCATGCTCCAAGCAAACTTCAGCTTTGCTGTCAGTGGGGCTATTTAATGCACTATCAAGCAGACAGCTTCAGGGTCCTGTGGTTTTTGATATAATTTGTGGATCCCATTTCTTGCTGTCTCTACTATGAAGTGGATTTCCTGATTAGATGCTGCCTTGTGAGGAATTCCATGCTGGTGGATCAAGTTTTTCATCAGCTCCTGAATAATATTGCTGCTGAGATAAGCACAAAAAGCAGAGGCTTACTCTGAATAGGTAGTTATGTGTTTGAGGATGAACCACTTATCCTTTCAGGGCACAAGGGGGCCATGTTAACTTGTAACCAAGTGACCAGTTGGTTTCCTTGAGGAATAGTGCCATACTGGGAGTTTAGCATTAGCCTCCATTGCTGACAGATTGGACATTTGTAGTGGCATTAATTATATCAGATTTGTAAGTGGGAGCTTATGCTGTTGGACCCATTCATAGCCTCTTTGGTCACTTATTCACATGCTCATCTTGCTAGCATGGTGAGGACTTCTGGCAAAGGCAAGCTAGCTCGACTGACAGTCATTTTGTCAACTTGATTTTTTAGTTCCTCTTCCATGATAGATGCATTCTGGTGGGCATTGAGAAGAAATACAAAGATCTTGACACTTTAGACTAACTTGCATATATCCATCCATATGTCTCTATACCAGATTTTATTGTCTGAATATTATATATTCTCCCTTCCAGGTTTTTAACTAGCTGCTCATGTCAATTGCAACTGTCCGGGAATCTAGATGTATCATCAACTGGGACCACTTTTCTCTTTTATACAAAGTGGATAACCAGGTGCTAGACATATGATTCTACACATAGAGAAAGCATATTTTTCTCATCATGGTGTTTAAAGGCATCCATGCAATGAGCCAATCCATCTGCAAGCCTTGCTTGGGCTTTTCCCTTCCTCCTTCAGCTGGTCATTTGAGGCACCAAATGTGACCACACATGTGATCTGAGAAAGAGGTGGTGGTGCAGTGCTGGTCGGTGACATGGGGGTCTGGGCTTCTGCTCATGGAGCCTGCTTTCTTGTTCTGCTAGTGTTCATTCCTCTATGAGCTATTTCTGTCTTACAATGGATTGCTACTGAGTCCACCTGACTTCATGACTTGGAAGTTTCAACAGAACGCAGCTCACGATGGACAGCTACAGATGCATGATCACTTGTCCCACAGTCAAGTTTTGTACCTCTACCAGGTCCAAGTAGTTTCCAAGGATCTGATTATCCAAAGATATGTTAATTTTCAACTACAGATTATAAGACCTTGTTCTACAACTTTATTTGCCTGCATTGTGATTTTCCCACTGAGGTGTGCCGTAAACTTCACATTGCAGTTTTATTGTATTTTTATTTTTTTCAATACCACAGATGCCACCAACACCATATGGTCTGCCAGATTGTTTGACCCAACCAGTAGGGTTGCTTGCATCTGAGACTAGACCTACAGAATCTTTTCCTGCTCCTGGTCTAAAGGAAGCTTTGTATTAGGCCAGAGAGGTACTTCTACTTGGGGAGTATGTTTGTTCCAGAACCCCAAAAAGCCTACCAGATGCTCTGCTACTTTATTTGTAGTAGGGAATTTAAGAGATTTAACTCTTTGTTATATATTTTATATTTTTTATATTATGTTATATATTTAATATGAATATATATATATAAAATAAGGAAATATAATGACATACTATTTTACATAATATTTGACAAAAGTTTTATTTTATAAAGTATTTTAAAATGTTTAAATAAGTAGAAAATAGAATGAAAATGAACAGGCAGAAAGCTATTTTAACAGTATGAATAAGAGAAGATGAATCCTAAGATTAATGTGATCCAAAACTCAAGATATCCAAAACAATGAAGTGAAAGAGACCTATTATACCTCTCTAGCTGATTTTCCATTACTAATCCATACAAACTGTAACTTGATTTTCAATAATTTCCTGAACACAAGTACCGTTGTACCTCTCTGCTTTGATCATTTTATTTCACCTTCTCAGAATTCTCCTTATTCTCCCCCATGTTGCTTGCGTCTTCACTTCTTATATTAGTCCTCATCTATCATATAGATAGATGGTTTTATTTGGTTTTATTGTAAGACTGGGACCTATAGTGAACCCTTAATCTGCTTTGAGTCTTCATTTCCTTCTGTGTAAAATAACTAGTTCATAAAATGTGTGTTTCTCATAATTCTTATAGTGATCTGAAAAATGATGAATAGGAAAATTCTTTGAACCTTGTTCTTTATCTTTGTATAAAGATACTGTCTTTTGGCTATTTTCTTTAGACCTTATCAATAGGTTATCTATACCAGCACTATGCTGTTTTCTGAAATATGTGACCTATAAAATGTCAGAATTGCAACATAAAACATAAAAACAAGGAGTGTGTAAATGTGTGTTGCAATATGAATGAAATAGCGACTTCTGATGGTTTGAAAGCCTTGTTTTTCCAGCCATGTTTAATTTGGATCTTGGATACAATAAGGTGAAACTCTACATCTCATGAACCTAATTAATTCTCACCAAATATAATTGGCTTCCTCTTTACACCTGTGAAGAAATCAATTACATACAAAGATACTCAATGAGATGAAGGGATATGGCTTTTTTGCCACCCAACATTGACTGAATCAAAGAAAGCTCTCTAAACTAATGTACAAAACTTTTCATATAACCTAAAATTTTTCCCCATTCAGTTGTATTTTCCAAATTGCTTGCTTTTCTCCTTCAGTCAGCAAACATCAAGGCCCCATACTCTTTGAAGAAAATGTGCTCTATGCCACTCCTGAGATTATTATTCACGTGAAGTTTATACATGCAATGTAAGGATTTCAGAAAACAGAAGTTTT